GTGGGACTGCCATATAGGCCATAGTAAGGTGCCGAAGAACACGTTTCTCACTTGCGTGAGAGGTGTCTATTCCGTGCTTATGGTGGTTATGTTGGACGGGCTTCTGTGTGGTGTATGGGCTAGTGGCCAAACGTGTGGTGATGGGGTTTGGTTTGCAGTGGTTTATCACAGATCTACGTTAGGCGGATGCGACCGAGTAGGCCCATGCAGTGACTGAATGTGCGTGAGCGGTGCGGACAGTTGAAGTGGATGCGGTGGCTGTATGCTGACGTCCCTGGCACGGGTTAGCTAGTCTCAGCGCGATGGACTCGCAAGTGATAGACTAAGTCGATTCATGATGTTGAAGGTGCGGCCGCATTGAGGACAGGCTCGGAGCGAGTCTGCGTTGCTGGCGGTGATGAGGGTGACGGCAGTGGTTGATGGGACTTCGGGAGTGTTCTCATCGATGGGGCGGCGGTCTTCGTCGCGGAGGTTGTGACAGGAATGATGGAATTGGCAGTGGTCGACGACGGAGGGGAGATCAGGAGCGGGATCGTCGGCGGCGGCGGTGGTGGTTGCCGTCGCGGACGCTGTGGAATTCGTGCACACGTGACGTTGGAGGCGTTTGCGGCGTTGTTGCGGTGTTTTCTATAGGGTCCGCGGTTGTCCAACATTTCGGAGTACGATTTTTCCGTAAGGAATGTTGGCTCTTCAGAGTTGAGCGGCGTTCCGGTTCCTTTTGCTCAGTGTCGTAGATTGCCTCTATGGAGGCCGAACGAATCCTCATATCGTTGCGGTTTACGTATCCTTGTATTTCCTCGGCTTTGCGATCCATCCATACACTTAGCACGTTCGACAGCCGTTTCTGCACCAGGTGGTGCTATCTGAAGACCTCCTTGTTTGCGTCGGCCCAGCGGCTGATGTAGGCTTTGTGTAGTCTTTTCATCTCGGCGAGTAGGTTGGTGGTTTCAGCGTCGCCGTCGAACCAGTCCTGATGTTGGCGACGTGCGCAACCCGGAACATTCATGACGATGAGGTTAATTTCGTCCCGCAGTTAATGCCACCGTGTCTCCACTGTGGCGTTGTCCGGAGCCTACAATTCTTTTTGGCACTGGACCAGCTGATTGCTGAAATCCAACCGACCAGTAGGCACCAGAAGAGCCGTATCCAACCCACTTGGGGTCGCTTACCTTGTAGCCTCCTGTGAGTTTCCAGTCGGAGCCTCATCTGGGAGATGACGAAGCGGTGATCCGTTCAGACGTCGGTGTCGCAAATCGCCTTCATCACTAGCGCGCCTCAGAACGAGAACGTAGTCCAGCAGCTGCCAGTTCCCGTTGCCATCTTCCACGTCGGAAGGCGGAAGACGGTGTTGATGAGGAGGAAACGGTGTTCTGTGCAGGTTCGCCGAAGGAGAAGGCTATTGTTGATGCGGCCACCTATTCCGCGGGGACCCAGCACTCCCTCCTAGCCAGCGTGGCTTCTTCCGACGCGGGGATTTAAGTTATCAGGGACAGTCGTCTTGTCCGATTTCGGCACAGTCGCCAGGAGGGCGTGCTGGCCTTGGTAGAACTTGTTCCTTACCTTGTCGGAGCTGATTATTGGTAAGGGGTTAGGCGCTGACGACGGTGGCGAATTTGGCCCCCAGAGGAGGTAGGCGCAGAGTCATGGGTTGGTCGTTGATGCATTGCGGCAGACAGGGGCAGACGTCCCACAATGTTGTTGCGGATAGCGAAGGCGACGTCAGTGTCGCATCGCTTCGCCTGCGTGCGCCTGTCCAGAAGGCGTAGCTGGCACCCACACCTTCCTGTTGACACCGTCCGGAGAATCGCGTCTTATTGAGGACAGCGATGTCCACCTTGTGGCGCGCCAGTTCTCGAGCGATTAGCGCCGTCCTTCGATCGGTCGCTCCTTATATCGTTTAAAAAACTACAAACATTCCAGACTGCCAGAGTAAGCTGTCAACGTAGCAGCATGTAGGGTTGGACGGAGGAGATGGGGACGAGGATTGTTGTTTGATTGATTGTCCCACCGTGTACCGTACATCTGTGAGCCACAGCGTACAGATGACGTGCTCCCAGTCCTTGCTTAGAGCACCTTTTCTAGTCCCTTCACCTTCGAGGTAGTATGCAGTGCTAACCCTAAACAGGGCTGCTTAAACAGCCCAGATAGCCGCCGAACCCCACAGCTTTGTTTAGTGAAAGAAAAATCCGCGTTAGCTTGGGCTGCCTATGGAACTCCATATTCTATCCTTAGGACTTTCTTAAAGTGGGAGGTAGGGGGTGGAGGGGAAAGATCAGTCAGTATATTTGGAGTAAACAACAGAAGCCATGAAAACTCCATTTAGAGGGTACAGGTATAAAGTAAAATAGTTAAATTGCAAAGCTTTTGCTTGCAGTTTTAGTTTTAGTAGGAGAATTCATAAATCTAATAATGTAACATGAAGGTGAAAGGGGTATTATATTCGCAAATTAATTGCGAAAAACTTTGTTCACCACATTCGTACTGTGAAAATTTCAATATGGGCTAAGTTTGACGCAAAAAATAGGATCTGTTGAAATCCCGTGAGTAGTATATTTATAGTCATTTTTATAGTCAGAATCACCGGTTGTGGGGACACAACACCGGTTGTAATCATCTGGTTCAGTCGGCTGGTCGCGGCGGTTGCCTGGTTGTGATCGCCAAGCAGAGCCCAGCTTCAGGAAGTCACAAATAAGCGTTGAGTGACAATAAATGGCCGTGTGGAGTAGACATCATCTGCACGAGCCAGATACTGCGATATACTACACCTACGTAGTCGACCTCCAGATAGACACCCCTACACCCCACTGATTCGTAATGCTTTAATCGTTGGTTTTCTTAATCGTTTCTACGATTGCTTGGTTGAAAAGCCGTGAATAGTCGGTCTCGGACCTTTCATCACAGATGCCTGCATTCCATGCGGGCTTCTGTTCGTTCTTGGGTAATTAGACGACTCACTTCTCAAATGTACACTCAAGGTTCCCAACATATTCTTAACCATGTAAATCGACACTGGATGTTTGCACCTTCTTATGCCTTACGCACACATTTTCTGAAATTCACAGACCTCCCACGTCCGTAATTAAGCGTCTCTGTTTTTCAGTTTTTTGACAGCCCGATGTCAGTTCGTTATGAAGTAGAATCTGAGCGTCTTCGTTTCTTCGAGACATGCGCACGATACCGCCAAACCATTCGCAAAAACAAGACTCTTCTCACTGAATGGTATGCCTTCCAGAGGGGTCCCGAGATGAAGAGGGTTCTTGATGAAGTTGTTGCTGACAACGGTCTTTATGATTTGAACATTACCCTCGGTGAGACTCTTTCTATGGCTTCCGCCC